AACATCACAAGGTAACCGCAGCCATATCATTAACAAAGCAAGTTGCATGATTACACCTCAACTAATAAATTGTCTCTTCTAGGTCTTTAAGCATGAGTTTTGTCACTACCATATCGAGCTTTAGCCATGAAATTGTGATCGAAAAGATTCTTAAAACCCATGTTTCCTCTAAATAAACTTCCACATTAAATGGATAACAATAGACACTCAAAACATATCTCATATATTTAGAGTGTAAACATGACAAGGAAAGCACTTGCATATCATTAACAAAGCAACATGCAGGACTAAGCCTTTTACACAGGACGTGGATCTAAAAATGACATAAATGCAAGTATCAGATCCAATCCAATGATAAAACATCACAGCAATAATAATTACAACAAGCATAGATTCTACAACAGCTCAAAAATAATCAGTAGGCCAGTAGAGAACTGACACGAACCTGGGCCCGGACAAAGCCACAAAGAGCAAAAGTGGAGTATGAGCCAGTGTATCTCCCAAGCTCATCCAAGTGTCCAATGTTCATCTGTACAGAGGCATGATCCTTGGAGGTGATAAGCCTTGTAGTGGCAGAACTGCAACAGAAACAACAACAAACTACACATTAAGCTTCCAACACAAACAAATAGAACAAAACAAAAGAACGAGTGAAGCGAATTAGATACCATTTCCTGGGGATATAAAGATCCATGTTTTGACCCTCTTCGTTCTGCATCTTTACGGATTGCTTAACCGAACAAGAAACAACACTAAGCTCAAATCACCTAATTCAACAACACCGGTTTATATTCATCAAACAAACATGCACCGATAAAGAATAGAAAAGCTAACTACATTTCAACTTCAATTCCTCTATAAACCCTAATTCAAATAATGAAAAAGAATCAAACAAGCATTTTAGGGAAAACCCAAATCCTGATTTAACTTTTACTGTTATAAAAAAAATGAACATACTTACATTAACACTTAAATCGAAAAAAAATCCAAAATATGCTGATTAGAACATCAAATAAAATAAAATTGATATCAATTAAGAACCATAAAAAATAAATTTGAAACCAAGAGAGGGTACCTGGAAGAGACAGATCAGTGGCTGCAAAGAAGACTTTTGTGAGGTTTAGGGGTTTTGATTGCAGCATTTTATAGTTTGGCAAAATCCCTAAAGGTCGAAAATGCCCCAAGCTCGGCATGCTATAAAAGAAACGACACCGTTTCATGGACTGATGTAGGACTATAGGCCCATTTTGTGGATTGGTAATGTATTCAGCTGTTGGGTCTCAGTCGGAGTCCAACAAATTTATTAAATGTTATGATTTCATTAAAATTAAAATTTTTAAAAAATAAATATTTATAATTTAAAAATATTTATTTTAAATTTTTTTAAATTTTTATAATTACACCTATATAAAATGAAATTTTATGATTAATTGATACGAGCTGACACTATCTTGATGTCTCTAAAACACAAAAGTTAAAAATTGTAGTCAGAAATAACATTTCATGAGAATAAATTAAGAATTTCAATTAAGGATTGCTCAAACCTCAAAAAATAATTTGATTGTACAAACTTAACTTTGAATTAAGAATTAAAATCTAAATTAAACATTTTTAGATCACATAATAAAGATAGCAAGACACAATTTTAATGAAAAATGTAATTTAATTAAAATTTAATATACTCAAAATTGATCAAACTTGAAAAAAAAAAATGACTTAAATGTTATTTGCTCAAACTTCAAAATATTGTTAAATTAAAATAACTTAATTTTAAATTAATAATAATTTTTTATAGTTATTTCTTAATCTCATTACATACTAATCTTATTTTGAGTAATTTTTTTTTTCGTTTTCAAATGGAAAACTAAATTTCAGACAATAAAGATGTTAAAATATAATTTGTCCCTTCTACTATCTTAATTTTACAGTTTTAGTTTCTTTATCATAATTTTAATAAATTTGATTCTTATCTTTTTATAAAAAATAAATTTAAAAATAATTGATAACAGTGTTAAATTTTATTAGGTAGTTTTATAGTTGATGATAGAGCATATTATTATAAATTTCTTTTACTTCTTGACACATATTAACATAAAAAAAATCTTTAAAATTTAGTAAAAAATTATGTTTTTTATCTAAATTATTATTTAATTAAAATAATATATGGTATGTTTTTAATAAATAACACGATGAAAAAATAAAGTTGATTTAAAATAATTATATTATTTAATTTAAAAATGTATAAAATGCTAAATCAAGAAAAAATATATATTATCATTTGCCTTAGGAAAAGTATATTGAATAACACTCTCCCACGAGAATTGAATCATGTTTGAGTCTCAAGATATTCCATTAAGCGAATGTTTTCTTTTAATTCCGTTGTCACTTGTATATTTAAAGAACACTTAACAACTAAACACTTTTATTTCAATTAAGTAGTCACTTGCAAATATACTGTAGTTTTATATTAAAAAATAATTTATCGTGTTTTGTTTTGAAAAAAATTTTCATGTTTTAATTAAAACAATAAATAAATAAAAAATGAGTTTTTAGTAACTTAGTAAAATAAAGTTTAGAAAATATATCTTTTATATTTTATGCATATCGTGCATATCATATAATACTTGATTAAAATGATAAAATATATTAATTTGTATTAATTTTCATGAATATCGTAACATATCATATTATACATATTTTGTAAATAAATATCACTTCTTCCATTTATTTCAAGTTATCAAACTTATTTAGAAAAAACAAATTAAATTATAAAATAGAGAAAAAGAGAAAATAAATTTGAACTAATTAAAGAAGTGCTAAATAAATCATATAATTCTAATATTTTGAATAAGAATAACTGTTTAAAATAATGCTTCTGCATTCAATCCTTATATTTACATTTTTTTTAGTCAGTACATTATATAAATAGTGGTTCGGACAGACGCAGTGATTAATTAAAAAATATATTTTTATTTGCTTAATTTTGATTTGATAAGCAAAGATTATAATGTTAAATGTAAAGGTTATCATCAGAATCTTAAGTCATCCAAATTAAAACTAAAATC